GAGGGGAAAGGGTGGAGGTGGAGGCACCCCAGAGACCTGCCCTGGGCTGTGCAGGGGGCAGCTGGGGTCGGCAGGAGGATCCCCCCTGATGTGGGCTCCTGGATGTGGGCTGACCCAGAGACAAGGTCTCCAATGGGACGTGGACACACGTCTTCAGCAAAGCCGGTTTTCCTCTTCCGTTTCCCCCTCCTCCCCTGCACCGCCCAGCAGCCTGGCCCGGGGACACGGAGCCCATCACCTCTCATCCTGGCTCTGCAGGAACCGCCGCACCAGCGCTTTGATTCGGGTGATGTTTCTCCCGACCTGCAAGACCGAGCTGTTCTCCTCCGTGTAGGCAAAGTCAAAGGGATAGACGGCCTCGGGCCCAACGTGCTTCTTCCCAATTATGCCTGCAAGAACATGTGCTGTGCCAGAAGCCAGGGGAGGACAGGGGCTCCTCTGCTCCAGCACCAGCTGTGCTCAGCCAGCGCTGGGGACAGTGGAAGCTGCCACCGGTCTCCCATCATCCCTGCCAGCTGCACTTCCACATCTGGCTGGAAAATGGGACCCAACCGGGACCACGCTGCCCCAGGTCACAGGCTTAGTGGAAGTTTGGGTAAAGCAGGAGCCTTGTGTGGGCCTGAGAACCAGGAAGGAGAAGGATGAGGAAAGGAAGAAAAGCTGAGCTGTGATGAGGGTGGCAACAGAGCAGTGTGGGGGGGGGAAGCGAAGCGAAGCGAAAGCCAGGGGTCAGCACAGAGCACGGGCACAGGTCCTTGGTGCCTGCCACTGGCCGTGTCCCTACCTGTCCGGATGCCTGCTTGGCTGAGCAGCTGGGGCAGGCTGCGCACGCTGTCGAAGGAGTTGAAGTGGTGCACGTCCTGGTGCAGCCCGTACATCCCATTCTGGTGCTGCGGGCACGGGAGACAACAGAGCTGGGCGATGCCTCGGGGCCTGGCCCCAGCACAAGCCCAGATGTGCACTGCGTCTGCAGGTCCCAAGGGGCCGGGAACAGGGGATGTCAGCGGGCAGGGGGGCATGGCCAGGTCCTGACTGTGCCACAGAGCCAGCTCTGGTCAGCCCTGACCCCCGCTGTGCCTGGACCCCAGTGCGTGCGGGTGCCCTACCTGGGGCAAGCCGGTGAGGATGCTGGCCCGGCTCGGGGAGCAGCTGCTGACGGAGGTGAAGGCGTTCTGGAAAACCACACTGCGCCGGGCCAGCGCGTCCAGGCTGGGTGTCCGGATGGCCGAGTTGTTGTAGGCACCGCTCTCGAAGCCACCGTCATCTGCTGCAGCGGGGGGGGTGCGCGGTGAGCGCTGGGCACCGGCCGGTGACCGATGACAGCGGGAGCATCCCTGCAGGGGCCGGTGCTGCCGTCACCGTCCCGGCACAGAGGGGCTGCGCTGCCCACGGGAGCAGAGGTTCCCCTCCGCGGAGCGGGGAAGGCTCCGTGGCTCCGGCGGCCGCACTCACCCAGCAGGAGCAGCACGTTGCGGGCGGGGGCCGGGGGCCGGGTCCCGCTGGTCCGGAACGCGACCACCAACAGCAGCAGCGCCCAGGGCCGCATGGCTCCGGCAGCGGCAGCGGCACCGGTACCGGCACCGGCGGGGCTCGGCGGCTCCTCCGGCCGCCGCGGCTCCTCCTCTGCCCCGGTCACATGGGGCAGTCCCGGAGGCTCAGATCCGGCCCGGGCGGAGCCCCGCGGCTGGGAACGGGTCCGGAGCGCGCTGGCGGGGGCCGGGCAGGGGACAGCGGCGCGGCCATGGCGGCCCCGGGGCCCCGGCAGCGCGGCGGGGGCTGCCCGTGCCCGTGGCCGTGGGCGGCGGCGCGGCGGCGGCTCCCGGTGCTGCGCTGGCTCCCCCGGTACAGCCCGGCCTGGCTGCGGCTCGATCTGGTGGCCGGGCTCAGCGTGGGGCTCACGGCGGTGCCGCAGGCGCTCGCCTACGCCGAGGTGGCGGGGCTGCCGCCGCAGGTGGGTGCCGCTCCGCTGCCATCCCCCGTGCCCCGGGGCAGGAGCCCGCGGGTGCGCTGGGCTGCGGAGGGAGCCGGGACCATCTCCCGGTGCCCCGCGTTGTGCCAGCGCTCCCTTTGCCCTGTGCAGTACGGCCTCTACTCTGCCTTCATGGGCTGCTTTGTCTACTGCTTCCTGGGCACCGCCAAGGACGTGACGCTGGGTCCCACGGCCATCATGTCGCTGCTTGTCTCCTCTTACGCGTTCCATGAGCCTGTCTATGCCATCCTGCTCGCCTTCCTCTCTGGCTGCATCCAGCTGGCCATGGGGCTCCTGCACCTCGGTGAGATGCTCTTGCCGTGCAAGGGTATCCCTGTACAGCTGTAGCTGTGCCCCATCCCCTGCGCTCTCTGAGACACTGGGGTTGTCCTGTGACAGCTTTGAGTGTGTGCAAACACCCTGCTGGGCCAGCGCCGTGCTTACTGCTGCCCATCCTGTGCAGGTTTCCTTCTGGACTTCATTTCCTGCCCGGTCATTAAAGGCTTTACATCAGCTGCTTCCATCACCATTAGCTTCAACCAGATCAAGGTAGGACCTGCTGCTCCGGCCTGGCCACGTCCCCTGCCCTCTCCTAGAGCTTTCATGTTTAGCATCAGGCTGGGTGATGTGCTCAGTGCAAGAGCAAGGAGCCCCAGAGGGACCCTGGTTTCCCCCCAGCAGCAGTTGTGCTGGCTCCACGAGTGCTGTGCTCTGAGCAGAGCAAGCCCAAGCCCAATGCACCCTCTGCCTGTGGCCCGCTGGTGCCATCCAGGACACCAGAAAACCCAGGATGCTCGATCTGGTCCCTTGCATGGGGTGCTGGTGATTCCCCCCTCAGGGTGGGTTTGCAGCTCCACTGGTCCCTCTCAGGGCCCTGAGGCTCTTCGGGCTGCAATGCTTCCTCTGTGGTTAACCAGAATCAGAGCCTCCGGGAGGCTCTGCCAGGAGCCAGCAGCCGGCGTTGGCCAATGGCTGTGGTTGCAGTGGGGCTGCTGCGGGAGAGCTGGGCCCGGGCGGCCGCTGCAGCGCGGTGCAGGGGGTGGTTGGGCTGTAAGGGCAGGGCTGAGCCCTGGTGCTCCTGGCAGTGCCTCCATGGCACGGGGCAGCTTGAGAGGTGCCAGGCTCTCACCAGGCTTTGCTTTCCCATAGAACATCCTGGGGCTGCGGGGGATCCCTCGGCAGTTTTTCCTGCAGGTGTTTGAGACGCTGAGGAGGATCGGGGAGACCAGGTCAGCACCATCCCTGCTCCATCCCTGCTCCGTCCCTGCTCCATCCCTGCTCCATCCCTGCTCCGTCCCTGCTCCATCCCTGCTCTGTCCCTGCTCCATCCCTGCTCCGTCCCTGCTCCATCCCTGCTCCATCCCTGCTCCATCCCTGCTCCATCCCTGCTCCATCCCTGCTCCATCCCTGCTCCATCCCTGCTCCATCCCTGCTCCATCCCTGCTCCATCCCTGCTCCATCCCTGCTCCATCCCTGCTCCATCCCTGCTCCGTCCCTGCTCCATCCCTGCTCCATCCCTGCTCCATCCCTGCTCCATCCCTGCTCCGTCCCTGCTCCATCCCTGCTCCATCCCTGCTCCGTCCCTGCTCCATCCCTGCTCCATCCCTGCTCCATCCCTGCTCCATCCCTGCTGCTTCCCCCCTCCGTCCCGCCCCTTCCCTCCCCCATCCCTGCAAGCTCTGCCCCTCCCTGGGGCCTCGCTCTTCCTCGCAGGGGGCTCTGGGGTAGCTCTGCCTGTGCCCCACAGCACTGATGTGCCTCTTGCAGGGCTGGGGATGCTGTGCTGGGGCTGGCCTGCCTGGCCGTGCTGGGGGGGCTCCGCGCCATGAAGAGCCGCCTGCCCCGAGCCGCCCCTGTGGAGCCGCTGCCTGTCAGGGTCAGCTACCTCCTCGTCTGGACCACTACCACGGGTGCGTCGGCCACCCCCTGCCTCTCTCCTCCTGCTGCCATCCCTCCTGGGGCCTTGTCTCTTTGGGGCAAGGGAGAGACAGCCCCAAACTGGTAAAGCCCCAGGTCAGCAGGAGCTGAGAGCTGGAGGTGGGTCAGGGCGGGCAAAGGCCCTGCTGCTGTGTGTGCGTGCCCCTTCCGGAGGCTTGGAAGACCCCAGCAGCCCGGTACCCACCTCCTGCTGCCCTGGGCAGGTTTCCATGGTTGCTCTCTCACTGCAGCACGCAACGCCCTCGTGGTCCTGTTTGCTGGCCTGGTTGCTTACTCCTTCCAGGTGATGGGCTCCCAGCCATTCACACTCACCGGCAGCATCCCCCGGGGCCTCCCGGCGTTCCGGCTGCCTCGCTTCTCCATGGCTACACCCAACGGCACCATCCCCTTCCGGAGCATGGTGGAGGTGGGTGCTAGGCTGGCTGCTGTGGGGTGACCCTCATCCCTCTGTGGCTACACTGACCACGTCCTCCCCCCCAGGACATGGGGGTCGGGCTGGCCGTGGTGCCGCTCATGGGCCTGCTGGAGACCATTGCGATCGCCAAGGCTTTTGGTATGGCTGCACCAGGCTCCCGCGCCTGCACCGGCACCAGGGTGTCTGCAGGGGCTTGGGGAGCAGGGAGGGTGCTGGTCCCATGGCGGCACTGGGACGGACTGGGCTGCCTGTGCTGAGCCGGGTTCATAGTGTGGGTGGTGGGAGGGGTCCGTGTGGGGCTGCTGACCCCCTCCCCTTGGCCAGGGAGCTCCCATATCCCTGACTTGGGAGGGGGCCGGGGGGTCCCTGTGCTGTGTGTGTGATCTGAGTGCTGGGTGCTCCTGTGCTGGGGATGCTGGGAACAGACCCGTGGCTGTCTCCATGCGCATGTGCCCTTGGGAAGCTCTGGCAATGTCGCTCCTGTCCTTTCAGCCTCGCAGAATGATTACAGGATCGACCCCAACCAGGAGCTGCTGGCTATGGGTAAGAGTCGGCTCGGAGCAGGAGGGCAGGGCTGGGGATGCAGCCTGAGCACCCCTGTGTGTCCCAGAGCCCCTGGGCTGTCAGAGATCCCCATCCCAGCAGCCCACCTCTGCATCAAGGTTTGCCCTTCTCACCCTGCCTGCAGCCCCAGCCCCAAGCACCGTTTAGCAGTTTCCAGAGCAGCCTGAGCACAGCTCACACAGCTGGATGCGCTGTGGTCCAGGCCCGGGTACCTGGATGGGCTCTGGTCCGGCCCCGGGTACCTGGATGGGCTCTGGTCTGGCCCCAGGTACCTGGATGGGCTCTGGTCCGGCCCCGGGTACCTGGATGGGCTCTGGTCCAGCCCCGGGTACCTGGATGGGCTCTGGTCCAGCTCCGAGTACCTGGATGCGCTGTGGTCCAGGCCCGGGTACCTGGATGGGCTCTGGTCCGGCCCTGAGTACCTGGATGGGCTCTGGTCCAGCCCCGGGTACCTGGATGGGCTCTGGTCCAGCCCCGGGTACCTGGATGGGCTCTGGTCCGGCCCCGGGTACCTGGATGGGCTCTGGTCCAGCCCCGGGTACCTGGATGGGCTCTGGTCCAGCCCCGGGTACCTGGATGGGCTCTGGTCCAGGCCCGGGTACCTGGATGGGCTCTGGTCCAGCCCCGGGTACCTGGATGGGCTCTGGTCCAGCCCCGGGTACCTGGATGGGCTCTGGTCTGGCCCCGGGTACCTGGATGGGCTCTGGTCCAGCCCCGGGTACCTGGATGGGCTCTGGTCTGGCCCCGGGTACCTGGATGGGCTCTGGTCCAGCCCCGGGTACCTGGATGGGCTCTGGTCCGGCCCTGAGTACCTGGATGGGCTCTGGTCCGGCCCCGGGTACCTGGATGGGCTCTGGTCCGGCCCCGGGTACCTGGATGGGCTCTGGTCCAGCCCCGGGTACCTGGATGGGCTCTGATCTGGCCCTGGGTACCTGGATGGGCTCTGATCCGGCCCTGGGTACCAGCTGGGGATGGAGGAGGTGATGACAGCAGCACAGACCCATCTCGTGGCCCTGTGCAGTGCCTCCCATCCCTGCTGCATCTCCAGCCCCTCTCCATCCCCACTGCAGGCTTTGCCAACATCCTGGGCTCCTTCATCTCATCGTATCCCATCACGGGCAGCTTTGGCCGGTGGGTAGCAGGAGCCCCAGCCCCAGCCCTCCCCTTGCTGGGGCTCTGTGACACCCTGGGGGGGGGGAAGGTTGTGCAGATCCCAATGCATCCCTGAGCCCATGTGTGGCTCCCCAGCTGCCCACCTGGGCTGTGCAGGCTCCTGCAGGGACCCTCCCTCCCCTCCTGCGTGCCCTGTGGTGCTGCTGCAGCCTGGCAGCTCCTGTGGGGTTTTCCTGCTGCCCCATGGGCGGTGCTGGGCCCAGCCCGCCCCAACCGAGTGCTCTGCGTTTCAGGACAGCGGTGAACGCGCAGTCGGGTGTCTGCACCCCCGCGGGAGGGCTCATCACAGGTAGAGCCCCCTCCCTGCCGGGGGCTGCTCTGCAGGTCCCCGTGCCCAGCACCGCGGCATCGGGCCCCACGGCTCAGGGGCTCCCCGTGTCCCGCAGGCGCCCTGGTGCTGCTCTCGCTGGCGTACCTCACCTCGCTCTTCTACTACATCCCCAGAGCGGCGCTGGCCGCTGTCATCATCTCGGCTGTGGTGCCCATGTTTGATGCTGGGATCTTCAGGACCCTCTGGCGCGTGAACAGTGAGGGCACAAGTCCCAGAGGGTTGATCCCCCGGTGCTCTGCCTGTGCCCTGCGGCACGAGGACAAGGTGCAGGCTGTCTCCCTTGCAGGGCTGGACCTTGTGCCCCTCTGCGTGACGTTCCTGCTCTGCTTCTGGGAGATCCAGTACGGCATCATGGGCGGGATGCTGGTCTCAGGGATTCTCCTGCTCTACTCCATTGCCAGGCCCCCAATAAAGGTGAGATTCAAACCTCCCCTTGGATGCAGGAAGGATGGTGCTTTGCTTTGTTGCAGGGGCACAGCCCTGAGCTCCCTGTGACTCATCCCCTTGCACCGGGGTCTTGCTCAGGTGTCAGAGGTGTCAGATGGGGACGTGCTCCTTGTGCAGCCATGGAGCAGCCTGCACTTCCCTGCTGTTGAGTGCCTCCGGGATGCTGTGTGCAGCCACGCTCTCACAGGTACAGTGCTCCTGGGCCCACTGGTCCTCTCCCAGGAGCCTGGTTGTAACCTGGTACCCTCCTGGATCATTTCTGCCCGCTGCTGTCTCACCCTTCCCAGGCACAGCTCTGGGCTTTGATCCCTGGGCTGGTCACGTCTGGACTGGTCATCAGGAACATGACCCTGTGCTCTTTGTCCAGCAGCATCTCCCCCGTGCTCCATCATCCTGGACTGTTGTCACATCAGCAGCATCGATTACACGGTGGTGGCGGGGCTGGCAGAGCTGCTGCAGGAGCTGCGCAAGCACGGCCTCTCGCTGGCCTTCTGCAGCCTGCAGGTACCTGGGGTGCAGCCTCAGCCGGCCCCACGCTGGGTCCTTCTGCCTCTCCCTGCACCAGGCATCAGCTCTGCTCCCCGGGGCAGGGTCTGTGCTGGCCCCTGGCACCTGCCTTGAGGATGCTGCTGCCTCTCCTCTGGCAGAGCCTTCATCCCCAAGAGGTGGAGGCTTCAGGTCCTGAGCGCAGCTGTGGGAGGAGAGGCAGTGGGGAAGGGCTGCATCCCGTGTCCTGGGCTGGCTGGGGGGCTCGCAGCCCTGCTGTAAGGGAAGTGGCCAGCAGCAGGCTGCCCCAGCCCGGGTTCCTCTGCCCTCAGGACCCTGTTCTCCAAGTCCTGCTGGCCGCACACTTAGAGGGATTCCAGCATTTCCCCAGCCGGGAGGAGGCAGGTGAGGCTCTCGCTGCCCCTGGTGCGCTCCTGGGGCTGGGACCCCAGGCTGCTGCTGAGCAGGGGGTCTGCAAGATGGACCGGGGAATGTGACCCTTGTCGAGCCCCAGAGCTGCTGTGCACAGCCCCTGCTCCCTCAGCCAGCCCAGGCCCCAGTTTTACTGGTCAGCGTGAGGCCAGACAGGCTGGAACATCCCTCTGGGGTCGGCTGTCCTGGCCATGTCCCTCCTGGCTCCCTGTGCCCCACAGCAGCTCCCTCCCCCTTGCTGCAGGGCAGAGGAAAGTCCTTGACTTACGGTAAACTCTGCTCAGAACATCCGTGTGTTATCAGCACTGCTCCCATCCTGAATCCAAAACACAGCACTGAGAAGGAAATTAACTCTATCCCAGCTAAAACTGCCTTGTTTCTCCCCATCTCCCTGGCTCAGAGCGGTGCGGAGGAGCAGAGCCGGGGGGCAGCAGGGCAGCCCCCAGCACCAGCGCCAGTACCAGCGCCAGCACCAGCCAGAGGTCACTGCTGCCCGCGGGGCTCATCCAGTGAGTGGTGACACCGACACCGTGGTGACATCCAGCCACCATCCTGCACTGTCCCGGGGGTCCCACGCCGGCTGCTGGGGCTCGGGCACCTCTAGGACAGACAGTCCATGGAAGGGATCGGTGAGGGAAAACCATTCCCTATCGCAGCCATTGGAAAAGCCACCCCTCCTCCAGGCCTTTCCCCATCCTCAAAGCTGCCATCTTTTACATCATCTCTTTTAATTCTGGAGCCTTTTCTTACTCTGGGGTATTCTATGGTTCGATGATTCACACACTGAACGGTGATGCACAGAGTGCTCGTGGCATCTCGAGCTCCAAGGGTGCTGGTGCTGCCCTCCGGGCCCACGGCCGTGCTGCAGCTCTCACCCTCACACTGCTGGGAGATGAAAACCAGCACTGATTTTGCTCCTTACTGGTGTCATAAAGAGTGGCTCAAATAAATTGACCAGAGCCAGGCCAATGAATCAGATCGGTTTATTGAGCAAGCGACAGCAAGACAGCGCTGGGCGGCCGGGGAGTCTCTGCTCCGCCACCGGCATGCACCCCATTTCCCCGAAGTCACTGATTTTATACTCTTCTTTATCCAGTGTATGTGCTACTCTTGGCATACTCTGTGTCCGTGTGGCCCGTTGATAAGGGGTCTCATTCGGCCTCCCAGTGGGTCCGGTGAGGAAGGCTCTTTATCTTCTTTTCCATACCTAGTTTACTTTAACAGATGCTCCCAGTCTATAAGCCAAATTTCAACGTGTCGAAATTTCCAGTGACCTTGAAGCAAGTCAAGTAACTCTTAAACAATTAACTTTTAAGCAAACAAGATTTGATTGACAAACAGGAATTCACTCATCACATGGATCCCTCTGGTTCCGTGGGACATTCTGCCAAATGCTGCCCCTGTGGGTGCAGCCTGACCCCAGCTTGTGCTTGCCTTGCTATAAAATGGGTGTGAAAAGCACAGGCAGCAGGGCTGGGGCAGGGTGCGGGGAGGGCAGTTTTCCTGCCTGCCCTTCCTGGCACCCCTGAAATAAAGCAGTGATTGCACGAGTCAGCGTGAGCCCTGCATTCCTTTGAGGAAAGCCTTTCGGTTTTGTGTGGGCACGAAAAGCTAAACCGGGCACTGCTGAGCGCACCAAGGAAATGAAACTGAAAGCAGGCTCCGGGGGCTGGCGTGCTCCGTGCCGTAAGGCAGAGCCCCTCCTCTCAAAGGCTCCACAGCAGCAGAGGTGCCCGGGGGACACAGAGCTGCGGGGCCGTCGGATCCTGCCGCCGGAGCCTGGAGCGGTCTGTGCCCCGTGCACCCGCGGCAGCACCTGCAGAGCTGGAAGGGCACCTCCGCCCTCTGCTCCATCCCTCCCTCCGTCCCTCCGTCCGTCCGCCCCCCGGCACCGGCAGTGACCAGCGCAGACGGAGCAGGTTTCTCTTCACGTCGTGTGCAGCCGCCTGGGGTTGTGCGGGGAAAGCTGCGCTGCGTGCCCAGAGGGGGCTCAGGTAACCTCAGAATGGAGCCTGGGGTAGGAGAGGGGTTGGGTTCGTGTGTGCTCAAACCGTGTGTGCAGGTGCGGTGTGAGGGCTGCTCAATCCGGGCACGGGCTGACAGCCGCGTCCCCACTTCGGCCTGGTGGATCCAGTGGGATGAATTCCCCTCCATTCACTTGCCCTCGCGCTGGTGTGAAGCAGCCCACGGCCCCGCTCCTGCGGCCCGGGGAGCCTGCTCGGGGCCGGTTGCTGCCGCTGTTGCAGACGGCAACGAGAACCGACCGACGGCGGCCGGAGGGTGGTGGGGGAGGCGCGTCCCGGGGCCACCAGCCCGGAGCAGGGCCGGGAGCTGCTGACCCGGGGCTCGGCGGGGGGAGAACGGGCTCCACCGGCGCCTCGGAGCACGGCGGTGAGCACGGAGAACCCCTCCCGGCCCCGGCAGCTGCGGTGGGGCTGGACCCCTGCGGGACATGCCCGGGGTGGGGGGGGTGCCGGGCCGGGGCCGGGGCCGGGCGGCGGCGGTGGCGTCCCCAGACCGAAACTTGGGGCTCTGCGGGAAAACGAAACTTGACCGGTCGGCACCGCGGGAGTGGCCGCTGCGGGCGCCGGCCCGGCCCGCGGGTGAGTTGCGCTGTCGGGGGCCGCGGGCTGCGGCGGGGCAGGGCTGAGGGCACCGGCACCGGGCTGGCGGGGGGCGCCTCTGCGGGAGGCGCGGGGAAGGGGCTCCTCTACCGGGCTCCGCTGCAGCCTCCGGGTGCGCGCCGGGAGCCTCGGGACCTGCCCGGTGCGCCCCGATCCCCGCTGAGCCCCGATCCCCGCTGAGCCCCCTCTCTCCGGTGCGTCCATACCCCTCCTTCCGCCGGGACCCCGATGCCGGGGGGAGCTCCGCCTCCTGCCCTCACCTAACGGGCCTCGTTCGCGTTCCGCCCTTCGCCACGCCATTGGTCCGTCTGCCATTCATTTGCATATGTACACGGAAGTGGCGGGAGTTACTGCCTATCCGCAGGAGCGAGCAGCGCGTCATTTGCATATAGGCTCCGCCCCGGGGTCATTCCCGCCTCTGCCCCGGGCGGGTCAGGTGGGGCTCTGGCCTGAGGCAGCTCCCTGAGGAGCCCCGGAGCGTTCCTCACCTCACGCTAATGGCTCCGGTTTCTCTGCCCCGACCTCCTCGTTCCCTCTTGGCTCCCAGGGGCTCACCGCGGTTGGT